ATGCAGAAAGAGCTGAACAATATTAAGATTTGGAGTGACAAGTGGCAAGTAACAATCATGTCACACAAACATCTGGCAATGTCCAGCTCCAACAAGGAACAATCTTACCATCTTCCCATGGTTAAAACGGCACTATTGTTGCTGAATACCCACTAACATCATCCTGACGGTTACTATTAATCAGAAACTAAATGACCTTACCACATAAATACTGTGGCAACAACAGCAGCTTAGAGCCTACTGCAAGAAACTCACTTCCTGACTACCCAAAGCTTTTCCATGGTCTACAAGAAACAAATTGGGAAAGCAATGGAATACTCTCCACTTGCCTGGATAGAGTGGACATGGAGATGTTTCCATTAGTTGGCAAAACTAGGACGCAATGGCACACAATCTCAGAGTGAAGTGAGAGCCCTTTAAAACTGAGCTGAGGTGACATTTCTTCAGCCATGGAGTCGTTAATCTGTGGAACTTATTACCGCAGAGGGCTGCAGAGGCCAAGTTATTGAGTGTATATAAGACAGAGATAGATAGGTTCTTGGTTGGTAAGGGGATCAAGCAGAAGAATGCGGTTGAAAAACACGTCAGCTGTGGTATTCGTTCATGGTTGATTCAACCGGCCAAATGGCCTTATTCTACTCCATCTTTTGGCCTTGATGTTTGCAGTTCCAACAATGCTCAAGAAGCTTGACACCATGCAGGCCAAAGCAACCTGCTTGATTGGCACTGTATCTATTCAGACAAATGGCAGGGAGGTGGGGGTTTGGAAATCGCAAAGACTTATAACATTCTAACAGGACTAGACAGGGTCGATGCTCCTGATGGTAGGCGTGTCCAGAACCGGGCATCACAGTATGAGGATTTGGGGTAGAAGATTTAGAATGGAGATGAAGAGACATGTCTTCACCCAAAGAGTGGTAAGCCTGTGGAATTCATTACCACAGGAAGTAGTTGATGCCAAAACATTGAATGTATTCAATAGATATAGCAATTGGGGCAAACGGGGTCAAAGGTTATGGGGAGAAAGCAGGAGTAGGCTGATCGGCCAACTCAGTAGCCATGATCATGAAGGACAGAGCAGGCTCGAAGGGCCAAATGGCCTCCTCCTACTCCTATGTTTCTAACCACAAACATCCACTCCTTCTATCACCAATGGTCAGTAGCAGCAGTATGTAATATCTGTGGTACGTGCTGCAGAAATTGACCAAGGGTCATCAGATAGCAACTTCTAAACTCATGACCACTACCATCTCAAAGGCTAAGGGCAGCAGATATATGGAAACATCACCATCTGCAAGTTACCCCCAAGCCACACATCTGCAAATAGGATCTGAGAATCCTTACAGTACAGTCAAAGGCCATTTGTCCCATCGGGTCCACATCTGCCCTCCGAAATCCCCCTCCCGTAACCTCTCATTCTGGACCACCCAGCAGAAACCCATGGGGAGAACATGCAAACTCCACAGTCAGTCACTCAAAGTTGGTATTGAAGATGGGGTCCTGGCACTGTGAGGCAGCTGTGTTAACCACTGAGCCACCATGCCTCCAGGGTAACCTTGGTATTATTGAAAAGCAGGACCTGTAAAACAATCTCTTTCCGAGCTTCTTAAAAATCTACTTTCAGGACCTCATCCTTTTTCCTACTTCTGTCATTGCTTTCAACGTGGACCATGGCTTCTGGTTGTTCGTTCTCCCCTGAAAAAGTGTTCTCCAGTGATATCCTCATCCAGTCATGAGGCAGGCAACATTCCATCCTGAAATCACACCTATGACTGCAAGAATACTCACCTGCACTATAACTATCGAGTCACCTACCGCTACCGTGAAAAAGGAAGCTTATTTAAGGTTGAGGAAGCAAGGATCGGACAAGGCTCTAGAGGTCGACAAGACAGCCAGGAAGGAACTGAAGAATGGACTTAGGAGAGCTAGAAGCGGGTATAAAAAAACCTTGGTGGGTTGGATCAAGGAAAACCCCAAGACTTTCTATACTTAGGTGAGGAACAAGAGGATGGCCAGAGTGAGGGTGGGGCCAATCAGGGACAGTGGAGAGAACTTGTGTGCGGAGTCAGAGGAGGTAGGGGAGGTCCTTAATGAATATTTTGCTTCAGTATTCACCCGTGAGAGGGACCTTGACATTTGGGAGGACAGCATGAAACAGGCAGGTATGCTCGAACAGGTTGTTGTTAGGAAGGAGGATGTGCTAGAAATTTCGAAAAACCTGGGGATTGCTAAGTCCCCTGGACCAGACGGAATATACCGAAGGTTACTAGGGGAAGCAAGGGAAGAGATTGCTGCAATGATCTTTGAGTCTTCACTGTCCACTGGAGTAGTGCCAGAAGATTAGAGGGTGGCAAATGTCATTTCCTTGTTCAAGAAAGGGAATAGGGATAATCCTAGAAATTACAGACAAGTCAGTCTTACTTCTGTGGTGGGCAAATTATTGGAGAGGATTCTGAGAGATTGTATTTATGATTATTTGGAAAAGCACAGTTTAATTAGAAATAGTCAGCATGGCTTTGAGAGGGGCAGGTCATGCCTCACAAGCATTATTGAATTCTTTGAGGATGTGACAAAACACACTGATGAAGATAGAGCAGTGGATGTGGTGTATATGGATTTTAGCAAGGCATTCAATAAGGTTCCACATGGTAGGCTCATTCAGAAAGTAAGGAGGCATGGGATCAGGGAAATGTGGCTATCTGGATACAAAACTGGCTGTCCAATAGAAGACAGAGGATGGTAGTAGATGGAAAGTATTCAGCCTGCAGCTCGGTGACCGGTGTGCCACAGGGATCTATTCTGGGACCTCTGCTCTTTGTGATCTTTATAAAATGACTTGGATAAGGAAGTGGAAGGGTGGGTTAGTAAGTTTGCAGGTTACGCGAAGGTTGGAGGAGTTGTGGACAGCGTGGAGGGCTGTTGTAGGTTGCAACGGGACATTGACAGGATGCAGAGCTGGACAAAGAAGTGGCAGATGGAATTCAACTCAGGAAAGTGTGAAGTGATTCATTTCGGAAGGTCGAATTTGAATGCAGAATACAGGGTTAATGGCAGGATTCTCGGCAGTGTGGAGGAACAGAAGGATCTTGGGGTCCACATCCATAGATCCCTCAAAGTTGCCACCCTAGTTGATAGGGTTGTAAAGAAGGCATATGGTGTGTTGGCTTTCATTGGCAGGAGAAGTTAGTTTCACAGCCGTCAAGTTACGCTACAGCTCTATAAAACTCTGGTTAGACCACACTTGGAATATTGTGTTCAGTTCTGGTCACCTCATTACAGGAAAGATGTGGAAGCTTTTAGAGAGGGTGCAGAGGAGATTTACCAGGATGCTGCTTGGACTGGAAGGCAGGTCTTATGAGGAAAGATTGGGGGAGCTAGGGCTTTTTTCATTGGAGCGAAGGAGGATGAGAGGTGACTTGATGGAGGTTTACAAGATGACGAGAGGCATAGATAGAGTGGACAGTCAGAGACCTTTTCCCAGGGCCAAAATGACGATTACGAGGGGGTATAATTTTAAGGTGATTGGAGGAAGGTATGGGGAGATGTCAGAGGTAGGTTCTTCATACAGAGTGGTGGGCGTGTGGAATGCGCTGCCAGCAGTGGTAGTGGAGTCAGATACTTTAGAGACTTTTAAGCGACTCGTGGACATGGAGGATAGTAAAATGTAGGGTATGCAGGGTAGATTGATCTTAGTAGGATAATAGGTCAGCATAACATCAAAGGGCCTATACTGTTCTATGTTCTATGTACTGCCTTTCAATGAAAATGAAGTGCACAACTTTAAAAGGTAAGCAGGAGCAGAAGAACCTGGGGAAATATACGTATAAACCTTTGAAAGTGAAAGGGCAGGCTGAGAAGATTCATAAAAAGTGACATGTAGAAATGCAAGGTGTTTATGACAAACCTTCACAAAACTTTTTGTTTTAAAAAATAGTTTCTGGGATGTGGTGTCACCAGTAATTCCTAGGATCCCTGCAGGGTGGAAACAGGTCATTCGGCCCAAAAGGTCCACACCGACTCTCCGAAGAGCATCCCACCCAGATCCACTCACTGTCCCCTCCCATGTCCCCCAAACATCTATCCCTGCAACCCTACACACCACCTATGGCCAATTCATCCAATCTACAGATTCCTGGACATTGGACAATTTAGCATGGCACATCTTTGGACTGCATGAGAAAACTAGAGCACCCAGATGAAACCCATGCAGACACAGGAGAATGTGTAAACTCCACACAGAGCTACCCAAGGTTGGAAATGAACCTTAGTCCCTGGTGCCGTGAGGCAGTAGTGCTAGCTGCTGAGCCACCACTCCAACCTTAAATTTATTGCTAATGAAGATGTACTTGCAATAGAGGCAGTGCAGAGATTCATTACATTGATTCAAAAAATGTGGAGCTGGAAGAGTACAGGTCAGACAGCATCTGTGGAGCAGGGAAATCAACGCTTCAGGTTGGAACCCTTCTTCAAGGTTCTGACCCTTAGAATGACAGGGTTGCCTCTCATACTCAGGTAGCTGAGTGCTCACTGTAAGAGATTTAAGCGCAGAAGAATGAGAAGTGATCTCATTTTAACATAAAAGATTCTGAAATGGACTTGTTTCTACCCAGTCTGATAGAATCTAAAAACATAAAGGTACAGACTCAGGAAAAGAGAAATTTCAACACTCAAAAGATTGTGAAACTTCGGAAATCTCTGATCAGTGAATACTGGATGTTCCATCGTCAACATATATTTAACATTAAGATAAACAGGCATTTGCGGAAAGGGGAAGCAGACAGGTTCAACCCCTGCTCTCGTGCCCCTACCCCATTCACTCCTGCCCACGCCAGCATCGCCCCGCCCCCACGCTCGTGCCCCCACCCCATTCACTCCTGCCCGCACCACCCCTACCTTCTCCCTCCCCAGCAC